CCCCCAAAACCCCAAAACCCCAAAACCCCTTCGAGATTATAAATTATTGAAAGTCCCACATTAAAAATGTTATCTAACTTTGCATTCAGGACGAGAAGTGTAACTCTTATTCCTAGTTTCTGTAAGTCCACAGCCACAATCTCTCATTACCCAAAACTCTATTTTCACATGCCCAAATCCCTTTTTCTTCAATACAAAATTATCTTCCTTCGTGCTTGACTGACCAATACAGATTTCTCAACGAACAGAGGTCATACACGTAGAGATTTCTTGCTTGGGATTGAACGGAGGGTTCAAGCCAAGTGGGATGAAGCCAAGGTTCATGAAGCTGACGCTCCAGTGGGAGGTGCGCAGGAAGGGAAATTCTTTAGTACATTTCCGTACCCGTATACTAACGGAAGGCTGCACCTCGGCCATGCATTTTCTTCTTCAAAGAACGAGTTCGCCACAAGGTTTGAGAAACTAAAAGGTAAAAGAGTCCTTTTCCCCTTTGCATTTCACTGCACAGGGATGCCAATAGCAGCAGCTGCCAAAAGACTGGTCATGGAGAAACAAATGATAGCAGAAGGCAAGGTCAAGCCAGGGTTTAAGACACAAAGACATATACTTGAAAGTATGGGAGTTCCAGAGGACGAGATTGATAATTTTGAAGATCCTGAGTACTGGCTTGACTACTTTACACCTAAGGGAAGAGCTGATCTTCAGGTGCTTGGACTAAATACTGATTGGAGAAGATCTTTCATCACCACTCCTAAGAATCCTTACTATGATTCGTTTATTAAATGGCAATTCAATTTGTTGAAAGCCAGAGACAAAGTTGTTTTCGGTAAGAGACCAGCTGTGTACTCAGTTCTTGACGGACAGCCTTGTGCTGATCATGATAGATCTCAGGGTGAAGGTGCTGTCCCACAAGAATATACCGCAGTTAAACTCAGAGTCATCGAGCTACCAGAAGAACTCAAAGAATATGAAGACAAAGACTTGTTCTTGATTGCAGCCACATTGAGACCAGAAACAATGTATGGCCAGACCAACTGCTTTGTGCTACCAGATGGAAACTATGGAATATTCAAGATGCCAGGTGACCAATACTTCATCATGGCTGAGAGAGCCGCCAAGAACATGGCTTATCAGGATCTCACTGAAGAATTTGGTAAATATGAACAAGTTGGCAAAGTCAAGGGATCTGTGTTGATCGGAACCCCACTGAAAGCTCCATTATCAAAATTTGAGAAGATCTACACTCTTCCATTGCTGACCATCTCAATGAACAAGGGTACTGGAGTTGTAACTTCAGTCCCATCAGACTCCCCAACAGATTACGCCACTTTGATGGAGTACAAAAACAAAGCTGATGTTCGAAAGAAGCTAAAGGTTGAGGAAGAGTGGGTCAAGGACTATGACCCATTCCCAATCATTAATATTTCTGAAAAAGACTCAAAGAAAACAGTAGGCATGATAGCTGTGGACTTGTGCAAGAAAATGAAAATTAAAAGCCAGAAAGATGTAAAGAAACTTGAAGAGGCCAAGGATATTGCGTATAAGAAGGGATTTAACCAAGGAGTCTTTTCGTATGGAGACTTCATTGGAGAGAAGGTCTCTGTCGCAAAGGATAAGGTTAAGGACATGCTTGTTGAGACTGGAGATGCTCTTATTTACTTCGAGCCTGATAAGAAGGTTATCTCAAGAAGTAAGGATGAATGCATTGTTGCTAAAGTTGACCAATGGCTTTTGAAATATGGAGAAGAAGATTGGAAGAACTTTATTAAGGAGCATGTAACATCTGACAACTTCAATGCTTATACAAAGACCACACAAAAGTCATTCGAAGATATCATCGAGTGGCTGAAGCAGTGGGGATTTTCAAGAACTTTCGGTCTCGGAACCAAGGTCCCATGGGATGAGCAATATGTAATCGAGTCACTCTCTGACTCTACTATTTACATGGCCTACTACACAGTTGCTCACTTGATTCAGGGAGGTGTTATGGACGGAAGCACTCCAGGACCTCTCGGAGCTAAACCTGAAGATTTTAACGATGCTGTGTGGAGCTACATTTTCCTGGATGGAGAATATCCAGAAGGATGTACTATTGCTCAAGACAAGCTTGAATTACTGAAAAACGAGTTCAACTACTGGTACCCAATGGACTTGAGATGTTCAGGAAAAGACTTGATCGGAAACCATTTGGTGATGTGCTTGTATAACCACGCTGCCATTTGGGAGAAGAAAGAAATGATGCCAAGAAGCATGTTCTGTAATGGATATATGTCATTAAATAACAAACCAATGTCTAAGAGTCAAGGTAACTTCTTGACTATCATCGAATCCTGTAAGGAATATTCTTCATCAGCAACCAGAATGGCCCTTGCTGATGCTGGAGATACCCTTGATGATGGCAACTTCCAAGAAGCGGTAGCAAATGCTTCAATCATGAAGCAATTTGTTCTTGGAAATTGGATCACTGAAGAGATTGACAAGATAAATCTTGAAGAAATTGACTGGGAGAAATATGGTGAAGATTTCGATAAGTATGATAAGTTCTTTGAAAATGAGATGAACAGAATTATCGGAAGTACTTATCAGATGTACAATGAAATGAAGTATAAACTTGCTCTTAAATTCGGATTCCATGAACTACAAGGAATTCGAGACGACTATGTGTTATTCAAAAAGAATGATTTAAATCCACACTTAGTGTTGAAATTCATTGAAGTCCAACTGTTACTGGTATTACCAATAATCCCTCACTTCTGTGAGTACTACTACCAAAAGGAGTTTTTGCCAGCAATCTTGAAGACGGAGAACCACAGGGAATGCCCAGAGCTGATAGTGAACTCGAGGTGGCCAGAGAGGACTGCTGATTACGATATCAACCAGGGGAAGATCTTTAACTTCATTAAGTTCTGTAAACACGACTTTATTGTGATGTATGACAAGATGACCGGGTTCAGACAGCAACAGAAGCAGAAACAAAGGCAATCCAACACCAGTGGGGAAATCAACCAAAAGAGTTATGACAACTGTATAGTATTCTATGCTAAAACTTATCCAGAAGAGCAGCAAGCTGCTATTAGAGCCTTGCTTGAGATTGGGTACGACGACGAATGGAATCCGAAAGAGAAGCCCATCCAGCAGATGAAAGCTAAGTTTAGAGACAAGAAATCTCTGGGGAAAGCAATGAAATTTGCAGCCATGATGAATAATGAAGTTAAAGAAAAGAGGTCTCTTGATCCTTTGGAGCTGGAAATGCCTTTTGATGAACAAAAGGTGATAGAGGAAAATCTTGAATTCATCTTCTCCGGTATTAATGTTAAGAATATCGAGTTTAGATCAACGGATGAAGGCTGTGATATCAAAGGGTCACAGAATAGCATATCTGGTGCTCTACCAGGAAAGCCATCGGTGTTCTTTTATTAATAATTTATCTACCTGAGATTCAATAATTGCTAATGATGAAGGGGTTTTGGGGTTTTGGGGTTTTGGGGTTTTGGGG